GAGCGCAGGGCAAGCTAGCGAGACAGAAGTTAAGCTCTCCTTGCAACTGATAAAAATAAACCTGAAAATCAGTTCAAAACAGCGTACTATGTTGCAAAGAGTGAACTACCACTGGCAAAAATTTAGCAGTCTTTGCAAACTTCAAAAAGCAAATGGCCTCGATCTTGGACTGATTCATGTCCTACACAGTTCTTACAAGTTCGTAGAAATTTCTGTTCAATTAGACCCAAGTATTTGAGTTGATGATTGTAATTTTTATACAATGTTATAATTTGTTTTTCAACAATTTTTTGATTAATGTTTTGTTTCCGTTACAATATTATACTTTAATGTATAATATTGTAGAGGAAACAAAACGGGAAACAAAACATCAATCAAAAAATTGCTCTCTTTTTTATTCGGGCTACTTAAACTTATTTTGGGCTACAAAAAACTGAAGAGTCCCTGCCAGAAGGGCTACCAGGGATTTTGAAATTTTGCGAGCCCTGATATTTATAATTTTAATAAATGACAAATTAAAAAGGCATGAACATTTTTTTTATCGAAAAAATATCGAACCGTGACACCAAAGTATCGAACCGAACCGAACCGAACCGTGAATTTTGTGTATCGTTGCACCCCTAATATATACACACATATATATACATATATATCTTTGTGTCTAGAATAAAGTTGAACCATTGTTGCATTTTTTGCTTCTTTATTCAGTAATAGTCATGATAGGACAAATCACAAGTTGTGACAGCCTTAACATCTTGTTGGCAAATATCTCAGATGTGACCTTTGCAATCAGACAGCAAAAGAGTTCCAGCAACACTGGTGCTAAGTCATGCTCACATCAGATACAGATGGAATTATTTAGGTAATTATTTTCTTAACAGCTGTAAACTTTGATGAAATTTGATATGCTGCAGATACAGGAGTGTGGTATTTCAGCACTGATCTGTTTTTCATACAATAAAAAAACAATTAAAGGCAAAGCAAGGAAGTAGGCATTATTATTATTACATGTTTTATTTATTTGTTTTAAACATATGAATGAATGGATGAATCATAATCTAGTAAAAGTCTTGTGTTTCTTTTTAAATTTGAATTCACAGATAATAAAAAGCGTCATGACAAAGAAACAAAGGGGTAGCTTACAAATTGTTACACTCTTGGCTTGCATTGCATTGTCTTTTTCTCTCATGTCTTTGGCAAGAGGGGATAGACTTGGTAACTGTAAAAAAAAATATTGCACATAATGTTGTTACAGAAAATAGGTTAAAACATTTTGGTTCATCTGGCTTTATAAATAGTTTCTATAAATGCCCAATGGCCTAAAATAGAGTGAATAATTCTTTGAAAAGATCAAAGATAAACTCTGATGCTTCTGCACTTTACAAAAAAAGCTCCTGCTGTAGCTAGACATGGGGAAAAATGAAGAAAGAATACTGTGCACCATAGGAATGTATGAATGGTTACAGCGGCACTGATGTCTCACTGTCTTAAACACTCTTTTACAAACACACTATGTGAATGAGATCCCCAGAGTTAAAAACAGATCAAGTAGTCAAATGCAAAAACACTTAACTTCCTTGTCTGTAGTTTTAACCCCATGATAGTATCCTTTGGGTTGGGCTCTGGACAGAAGAACAAGATAAGACCATGTTGTAAACTGAAGTACTAATACATGCTTGTTAAGTTACATGTGGTTTAACCCTCTTAGAACACAGAAAATAATAAACAACACATGAAAATGTAGACAGATGATGATATTACAATTGTTGTAAAGGTTTGAAAACCATCTGTATTTAATGGAGTCTCCATAGGAAACAAGAATAATGGGGGGCACACGTGACTTCACTTTACTGGTTGCGGCAGGTGGGTGCCCCTCCCTGAGCTTGGTTTTGTCAGAGGTTTTTCCTTCTCACTGTTTGCTCAGTGGGGTTGGGTTTTTCCTCTGTATTATTTTATGGTCTCTGCTTTACAATATAAAGCACCTTGTAGTGATTTGGCGCTATATAAATAAAACAGAATAACATTGAATTGATTTTTCAGGTTATGACCTGGAAAATTTTGAAATCAGATAAAATAGGAGAAAAAACGGCAACAAATTATGTTTTTAGGTAGTGTTACATTCTTTGAAGGTTTTCAGCTGATCCTTCAGGTAGTTTGAACAGTCATTAGTAGTGATGGAGCAGCAATTTTGATGTCAAACATCTCTGTCAGAATATGGTGGTCGAGCCATGTACTGTAGGTTGGCACTGGTTGGTGTGCCAGTGATGGTGTTGAAGATGCCCATAGAAGCAGACAGATTGCTCCTTGGACCATCGTCCACTGGGTTTATCTGGAAGAAATGGACTGTTAGAAAGCTTAAAATATACTGTTTGGTTTGTTTTATGTTTAAAACGGGGTGGGGGGTGGAATTAGTGAGGAATGGTCTTTTAAAATTTTCCTTAATCCGTGGACAATCATAAATATCAGGCTACACATGAAGCTGATTCAAGAGGGCATTACATTTCATCTTTGGGAAGGCAGATTTGGGTGCAGATACTATGTCCATGAAGCTGTTAGTCAGTTGCTGTCTATAAATCTTTTACAGTGTAAATAGTTACTTTATTCAATGACACAATCATTATTACCATCCAAGCTGCTCATGACAGCATAAATAAAGGAGATAGGAAACATGGTTAGTAAAGGTTAGAGTAAAAGAACTGCAGCACAGGACAGCACTTTTTGTCATACAATTAAATATAAAATTACACATTGACAAACACCCTCATAACAAAATATATGTGTAGATAAGTGTAGATGAAGCATGCAGATGTGAATACAAATAAAATCTGACAGACCAGGTGCAACTTGATTCTTCACACGGAACAAAACTTTATAAATAAAATATTTAGTATTTATGAGCCATCACATCTCAGAGCCATCACATGCTGTGATCATTCATCATTCTTCAGTGTTTCCACCTGTTCGTGCATGATGTTCGACAGCTCCCTCGTCAGATTCCTGTAGTTGGCCTTCATCTCATCATGATACTCTTGCTGGTCTTCTTTAATCAGCCGCTCATTAACGCTAAGCGCTTGACCGCAGGCGTCCACAAACTGCCTGAAAAGAGAGGCATGAAAAAACTCAAAGCAAAGCAACAAGCGCAAAATAGTAATATGCAATACAGAAAGACAAGCATCCAACCTCTGTAACCAAGCTCACTAAGGCACAATGTAATCATAGTAATATCGGGTATGTTATAGTGTGTGGGAAGAAGGTTTTCTGTCAGTACCTAAAGACCTCTTTGAGCTGTTTGACTTTGTTGTCTGGATATTTCTTGGCACTGCTGCTGTCTAGGAAGGCTCTGGCATAAGCAAGAGGACCAGCATTTACCTGGAAAATCAAAATCAAAGACTGTTAATTCTAGATTAAAGGAATAAAATAATTATTGATAAAGTAAAAATGATTATAACCTTGTGATTTTGACTCTACCTGAACACTGATGCTGCCTTGGAGCTTGAGCTGCAGGCGTATCATGTCCACTTCAGAGGCCGAGCACAGCTGTCGCAACTCATTCACCTTGGCACTCATCTCATCTATGGCCACTTCTATGGGGCTCAGGTCAGTTTGGTGTTGGTACATGACTGCTATACGCTTCTTTACGTATGGGAAACAGTGGGTGGCTGAGTGAACACAGGATTGGAAGAGAAAAAATATCTGTTGTTAGCAGCAACATAAAAATGTCCTTTGAACACAGAAACAGTAGATTCCACAGTAATGCTGATAACCAGGATACTAAACACTGTAAATGGCCACAGCGGAGTCTCCACTATAGCCAAATCGGTTAGCATAATTATTAATAAGGCACCGTAAGAGCTGAACTTACTGGTACACTAATGAAACAGAACTAAATTCATCTACATAATTTTTTAAGTGATTTGCACTAAAGTGAGACACAGGCAATTGTAATCAACAATAACATCTGACAATCAGGAAGATATAATTAAACTTTGGTTAATCTACTCTACATTTACAAATAGTTTCCATGATTGTATGACATACTGGTGAGAACAGTCCGCCGTTTACATTGCTCTTCCACCCCGCCCTGCTTTTTGCCTGACATTGTGAACGGTGTTTCAAACACAAAGCGCCAGATGTTGTGACTCTTCTCAAAGTCTGTCCTCCTGTCCTCCAGCTCCTTTTCGTCGAGGTAGGGCGTGACGTGAGTTACCTGGATATAGGCGTACTTTGAGTCCAGATCTTTCGGATTCACCTGTGGATGCAGAAGAAGTTTTTCAACATATTTTATTTGTGTTCAATCCATAATATTTATATAAGCTTACATGAAAATAAATTAGTGTGTTAACCAACCAGTAACGGTATTTCCCAATAGCAGTTGACATATAAAAGGTATATATTAAATTTGATTTCTTCCCAACTGGCTTTGTATGCTCTCATGTTAACATTTTAACAAAGGTATTGGCAGCTACACAACTTCATTTTTTTTTGAGGTTACAGGTTATACTGGCAAAAAAAAATAACATTCACAAGTCAAGTTAGTGCAAGCTGAAAATAAATCAAAAGGTTAACTTTAAAAAATTGAGATTTTTTTTAGAATTCATGTAATTCCTAAGCAAGATGGGTCTAGTCATTTCAGCACTTCAAAAGTAACCCTCAGCATGTGGTATGTGACCCAAAATCAGATTGAGGCTCATCAACAGTTGTCATAGTTATGGGCTTTCAATACAAACATTCACAGTGGTGGAGAGGGGAGGGGGGGTTGCCTTTGGGGCGTAGGTTACCAGGAGATATAGCATAAACAGCAACAAAGTACATTGTAGTGGATAAATAGGTGAAAATGTATTCATGCAGGAAAACGAGGTTTGTCTCCTATATGAAGCCAAAAATTCAAAAACACATTTAAAAGACTTCATATATCCGGTTGTTCAGTGATGACGCGACAAATCCTACTTCCGGGCCTAAAGTAGTCTGCGTTTAATATGGCTTTTGTGTTGTTAACATGTTTAATGTTATGTATTTTCTTCTATTTGATCTCAAAAAGCTCCTAAAACAGTCAGTGATCACTGTTGACCTCCCTCGTCTTTTATTACCGCTAATCATTTATTTAAGCTCAGTTTTTAAAACCTTAGGATGTAACTACAGCCCAGCCCATGCAGCAGTATACGAATGACTAACCTCGTATTATGGATGGATTATCTCAGTTGTTCTCCTGGCTGAAGTTTGGTCCTTTTATAGCATCCTGCCATGCGATTACATTTGTTCGTGACCACCGAGAACACTCACGTTAACTTTTATCGAGTGGAAAAAAAGTTAGCTTGTTTATATTATGCTAACATAGCTGTGTCTCATTATATACCAGCTAGCCCAACTTCAGTAACCCTACAAACGTCACTGCTTTTTAGTTTTCTGTCTTCATTTATGCTGGAAGTGATAACAGAGCTGTACGTTTTAATTTGTTTCCAAAACCCTGCAGTCAGGACATGCTATATTGTATTTAGATAGAAGCTAGCAAGCTAACTCCCTGCTAACTTCTAACTCCGTTAAATGTCATAAATTCCGTTTTCATGGATGCCTGGATGTTTAACTCAATTGTTACACCTGGTAGAGCAGAACGCTGATCATTTTATTACAGATGAAAGACTTTAGACAGTTTTTCAACTCTCAGTAATGCCACAGTGATCGTTTGATATATGGACCTGCAGCGGAGTTTAGGTCCAGACACGGCTAGTGACGTCAGACTGAACAACCGGATTCATTGTGAATTCTCTGAATGCAATGTGTACGTCAAACCTACAATAACGTTTTCTCAAGATTATTGCACAGTTACTAAGGTCTACCATTTACTATCATACTGTCATCCAAACATACAAGAATGTGATCACACCTTGCCAGAGTCCTGAATAATCTTGACATTTTCTTGGCCAAATTTGTCAGAGTATAGCTTCAGGAGCCTCTGGGAAATTTCAGACAGTGGAGTGAACTTTGGCTCCTTGTAGATGTATTCTTTTCCATCCTCATCCTCAAAGAACCCCTGCAAAACAGAAAGATCAAAACTGAAATAAGATGGTTAAAGAAAATATCTGTGCACTAAAGTGGACCTATTGTGCTCATTTCAAGCTCCACATTGTTAGTATTGCACTGTCTCCTTATTGTATGACTTGATGGTGGATTTATTCTTTCAATTACAAGATGTATGAAGCAGTCTGTATTTGTTTAAAGGTGTTAACAATGACATACGTAAATTGAGCACTCAAAGCCAGTGACACAAACATTCATACAGCCCTTTATGTATGCATAAACACTGTTTAGCATTGTCATGCTAAATGACGTGCCAATGGACACATTCGGAGAAACTCAGGATTGTAACCAAGGCCCGAGATTGATCCACCAAGCTTCCAGTTGGTAGATGACCTGTCAACCACCTGAGCCACACCAATTCAATTCAGTTTTATTTATACAGCGCCAAATCACAACAACATTCACCTCAAGGCGCTTTGTATTGTAAGGTAGATCCTACAATAATACATACAGAGAAAAACCCAACAATCATATGACCCCCTATGAGCAAGCACTTTGGCGACAGTGGAAAGGAAAAACTCCCTTTTAACAGGAAGAAATCTCCAGCAGAACCAGGCGCTGGGAGGGGCGGGCATAAACACACACACACACACACATACACACACACATACATACATACAACCATCATGGAAGGACAGGCCCCTGCACAGTATGTACCACTGGCAGATAGAGGAGGTGGCTGATACCCAGAAATCCTACCAGTGGCTGGACAAAGCTGGACTGAAAGACAGCACAGAGGCACTAATCATGGCAGCATAGGAACAAGCACTGAGCACAAGATCCATAGAAGCTGGGGTCTATCACACCAGGCAAGACCCCAGGTGCAGGCTGTGTAAAGATGCCCCAGAGACAATCCAGCACATAACAGCAGGGTGCAAGATGCTAGCAGGCAAGGCATACATGGCACAGATGTTCCTGTACACTATGTCGGCCACTTGGTTATGACCTCGGGACTTCCAGGTTATACTCGGAACGAGTATAACCTGGAAGTCCCGAGGTCAAAATGGGAGATGCCCCGAAAGGTGGTGGAGAATGACCGAGCTAAGATCCTGTGGGACTTCCAGATACAGACGGACATAATGGTGGTGGCTAACCAACCGGACATAGTGGTGGTAGACAAACAGAAGAAGACGGCCGTAGTGATCGATGTAGCGGTTCCGAATGACAGCAACATCAGGAAGAAGGAACACGAGAAGCTTGAGAAATACCAAGGGCTCAGAGAAGAGCTTGAGAAGATGTGGAGGGTGAAGGTGACGGTGGTCCCAGTGGTAATTGGAGCACTAGGTGCAGTGACTCCCAAGCTAGGCGAGTGGCTCCAGCAGATCCCGGGAACAACATCGGAGATCTCTGTCCAGAAGAGCGCAGTCCTGGGAACAGCTAAGATACTGCGCAGGACCCTCAAGCTCCCAGGCCTCTGGTAGAGGACCGGAGCTTGAAGGATTAACCGCCCATATATATATACATATATACATATGAGCAATAGGTCCACTTTAAGTGATTGTCATTATATACAGAAAGTTATCAAACACAGCAAACATTAGCTGATCACTACCGAGTCAAACAGATCTATTTAATTTAATATATTCATACATGCGTAACAGTTACACTGTGGTTTATTTGTATAAAAGTAATAGTTGGAAAGGCTTCATCAATTAATCAAAAGAAACTTTCAGGGGAAAAATCACAATGGGATCACATATGACTGAAAAAAGGATGAGTTTCTGGATTTGCAAATGAAACAGAAAAGAGATAAAATGATATAAAAGTCACACAACAGCTATTGTTTTGTGACTAAGTAACCATGTTTTATCCACTACTGGTCAAAAAAAAATCATGAAGCAACAAAAGCTTAAAAATCTACAGATACTTGATAGTAATTTTACAAATACTCATTAGCCCTTAAACAACGTAAAAAGGCACTGACATAGAGGAGGACTCCTCTATTCACTTACCGCAGCCTTAAAAGGAAAGGGAAAAGAAGAGAAATCTCAATTAAAAAAATAGTAGCGTTCCATTTAGATTCAAAGGTTCAGCTGTATCAGAGAGTGTATGTGTGTATGTGGTACTGTACTGCAAAAAACAATAAGATAAACACCATGCTTTTATGAAAACTGTGGACTGAGTCAAATTTAAGCTGAACTGAAAATTTTAATTATTATCATATTTATTTACTTTTTATTTTGTAAACTTACCTGTCCAAAAAAGGCCACTCTGAAGTATGTGCCAAGCAGTCTCTTGCCAGAATGCATTACTTCCATCACTTTAGTATACGCACGGTGGAGTGTATCATACAGGTGTGCCAGTTTCTGTTTGACAAATTCAAAAAAAATTGCAATAACTGTCACGCAGATGTTTTTATTTACAAACTGTTGTTGTGAATTGGCATTATATAAACAGAACAGAACAATTCACACTTTGTCTATAACTTGTGCTCAGTGTGCAGCTCACCTCAAAGTCTCTGCGCTGTTCATAAATGGGAATGATGAGCCTATAGACATCAGCAATGAGCTCATAACGCTCTGCCTTCCAGAGGCCATCAGCACACTCCTCCAAAAGCTCCATCAGCACCTCCTGAACACAAACAATTATCTTATCTTTAGAAAAGACACTGAGAAGTGGGACTAATGTTACTGCCAAAAAAATTCCTGAAGCCAATGACTAATTTTAAAAGGACATTCTATAGGCTGACATTCAGAAAAGATCGAAACAAAGTCTGACCTCACTGAAGTGAACATCCTGCATCCCAACATCCTCCATCATGGCTGCTTCCTCGTCAATGTTCGGAGTGATGACACGGAAAGCTGAGCAGCCCTGCCTGAACATGCCTGGCATAAAAAAGGTACACAGAGAGGTCCAGTAGAACCATACACTGATCAAGCATAAAACTATCACCACTGACATGTCAACCCTGTCATAGAAATTATATTCCCGGTTGGCTATGGCCATGGATAATGTGCCCTGCCATGATGCAAAAATAGTTCAGGAATGGTTTGAGGTTGGCAAGATCTCAGTCCAAGCGGATCTTGTGGGATGTGCTGGAGAAACAAGTCTGATCCATGGAGACCCCACAACTTACAGGATTTTAGAGATTTAACATGCTGTTATGTGCTAGACTGTCTCAGGGGCATCTTTGCACAGCCTGCGCCTGGGGTCTTGCCTGGTGTAATAGGCTGGGCCTCTATGAATCTTGTGCTCAGAGCTTGTTCCCGTGCTGCCATGATTTGTTGTCAACACTCTGTGTTGTCTTTCAGCCCAGCTTTTAGGATTTGGTAGGATTTGTTAGTATCAGCCAGTGGTACATGCCATGCAGGGGCCTGCCCTTCCCTGATGGTTCCTCTCTCCTTCCTGCTCTTCTTTGTTGGGCTTCTGCTGCCCGAGGTATTCACTAAGCACACTATCAGTTGCAGATAAATTCCTCATGTACTCGTGGACCTTTGTTTGTTCTTTCATCCTGGTTGTGACACTCACTAATTATCAGCCACGTTTCTTCCACTTTTGTGTGTGTAGTAAGAGAGAGAGAGACGTGAAGGGTGAAGGCAACAGTAGTCCCAGTGGTAACTAAAGCACTTCCCAGGAACAACATCTGAGTTCTCTGTCAAGAAGAGGGCAGCAAAAACACGGCACAGGACCATAAACTTGAAGGATAACGATGAAGCAATATGACTCACACTGTTTATTTTTTACAATTATTGATGGTTTTAGAGTTGGAGGAATTTGCAGTGTATACAATTTACAATTTCGATTGCAGACATCCCCAGCTCTGACATATAGCTTTTTATCACGTTCCATAAATCTTTCATCTGAAAACAACAAGAGAGTTGATAGGCTTTATTGAGTTTATCAATCAATCTCTCCAGGATAATGTTCCTCTACTGCTGTAATGTTTATCAGAGATTCATTTTATGGCTTCTGTAAATGAGGATCATAAAAACATGTTGGAGTTCAAATAGTTAACTGCCAGGAGACCTTACATTATATCCTCAACTTACCTTTCCTCCAGAGATACTCAGCCACCAGAGCGGCAACATGCACGTAACACATAGCTGCCTGCAGGTGAAAAGCACAGACACAGTCACGAGTCAGAGGCTAACACAACAATGCCTTACTGCAGAAAAAAAGTCAAGGTATTCAATATATTTATATTCAAAATACCTCTGAAAGATCCCCATTTTTGTTGTGGATGCGAGCCATACTGTCCAACCAGGTTTTACGGAGCTCAGGGGTGCTGGTGTAGGACTTGGCTAAGCTGTATTGGAGATCTACCAGCATTTCCGGGTCATTTTCGTGCTCTTTCATTTGCTCTGTGGCCATCAACACTGTCCTGATGCGTTTTGTTAGGTCCTTCACATCTGAAGGAAACGCCGTGTGCTGCCCAAGCACAACAACAAAGTGAATGTTCAGGATTACATAAAGCAAGAAGCGGGTACTGAAATGTGTTTGCCCCAAAACAGGAGAAAGGCTTAAATGTATCTATTTAGCCACCTAGTAATAGATAGTATTGCTACATGTATGATCTGACCAAGTGTTAATCAACCAGTTTGGGACAGAAATAACTAAAATTATTCAACAGTTCTCCTGGTAATTTATTTTGCCTACCAAACTCTCATTCCTCACCTTGATGGTCTTGTCACTGTTGGCATAGTTGTTGATGATGGAGAGAGACTGCTGGAAGCGCATACCCCCTATGCCGATGACGTCAGCAATCAGCTTACTGACAGCAATTACCACCTGGGTGAATATCAACAAGTAAAGAGAACCTTACATTTAAGACTTCCTGTATAATACAGAGATACATCATTAACATGGTTAGCAGATACATCATAGATATTGTATGTAGATAGAGACTAGAAAAGATAACTAAACATATAAAATGTCAAATTTAGACAGACACAAATGAAACGCTTACCTGCAGATGTGTTCGTACAAAGGATTTACGACCCGTGTAGTCGAAATTGCTTTTCATAAGAAAGTAGAGAAGGTGGGCAGCATCGCTACGGATGGAGCTCAGCTTGGAGTTACAGCACTTGAGAATTTCGTAGCAGAGAGAGGCACACATGTCGGCCCGGCCATCAAAGAAGGTGCAAGGGAACTAGAGGACATGGAAATGCAGCTGTGGGGTCATTTCAAGTCGATTTGTGGATATCAAAAAATCACAACCACATGGGTTACAACCCAATTCAGTCCCACCATGTTAAGTCAATAAACATGGAGCCAGATATTTCACCTTGTAAATGAAAGTCCTGAGTGAGGTGAAGACCTGTTTGAGAGCAGCCTCAGACTGAGGTATCTGCAGAAAACACAAGTGCACCTGGAAAACCTTCTTCATCAGGGGATTGTGACCGAGATCTGAATTCAGCTGGGTCTGAAAACAGGGAAGGTGAGTTTATTGGCTGAGCAAGATAATAAAGGGTGTCATGTTGGCTGTCTCTGTTAATACCTTGAACCCCATGATGAAAGTGTTGAGTGTGTCCAGCACAGTGAGACAGACCTCTGTAGACACACTGGCCTCTAGAAGGCACTGGCTGCTCACATCTGCTTCCGTACAGGAGTACGCTGCACAGAAAGCACATAAGCTACGTCTCCGATAGGGATAATGTTTTATTAGAGCCATTAAAAAAAGTGCATACCGTTGATTGCTTTATTGATTTAAATCTAAGACCAATAACGATTTGCCATGTGCTTGTATGGCAGACCTGTTGTTGATTTTGTCACCATTACCAACTCCACGAAGGAGTCAGTAAAAGACAAATCTGTTGCCGCCAAGAGCTCGGGAAAGCATGGCTACATTAATTCAGATAAACACAATATTATTTAGGTCCAAAAAATGAATAAAAATAATAATATCCTACTTTAACTACAGCAACATCTGCTTCATGACCACATTTTAGCACAGTACAACTCACCCCAGCTACACACAAAGTACTTTAAGTATACTCTTAAGCAGAGATGGGCATTACTGCGTTAGAACGCAGTAACGCAGTAACGCAGTAACGCCTTAACGCAGTAATGCGTTACGAGTTACGAGTAAAGTAAGGGATTACTATTGCAAAAACGGTAATTAGATTACCGTTACTTTACCGTAGGAACGCTGCGTTACTGCATTACTAAAACCGTGATTGTTTTTGCGAGAATGTCTCATGACCATGATGTATGCGAGTGCGACGTTCCTGACAACAGCTGTGTACAGATCAACAATGGATAATATATCGAGTGCGGAGAGAGTATGAGCGTGCAGTGTTTAAAGCGTGGAAGTACTGACATTACTTTAAGTTTGATTCCATAAAAAGTGACAAAAACATTAGTGTCCGTTGTGCGTGGGAAGAAAACGTCTTTTTACAGCGAAAAAAAACCCCTAAACTTCCGAGCAAGCACCGAGTGCGCTATGATGTAATGGGAAATTCACAGATTCTTCAACTGACCGCTCTGGCACACCTGCACCTGGGTAAACCTCCGCCTACCCTACTCCTGCTTCACAGGTGAAAATAGAGCAAAAGGATTGCTTTGATTTTATTTATTTTCTGCTGTGTTTTACTTCCATCTATTTGAAAGAGTGAGTGTAAACACAAAAAATATTTTATTTTATGTGCTGGAATGTGCAGAAATTTTTTGCTTGATGCATAAAGTTAAAAGACTAAAACAAGTTTTAAAAAGGGACTTTTCCATTTGATTACATTTTGTATGATGGATTATGTAGAAAAAGTAGAATTGGGCTGAAAGATCTATCGCTTTATCACCTCTTCAGGTTGTAAATCGTGTTTTTAAAAAGTAACTAAGTAATTAATTACTTTTGAAAATAAGTAGAGTAACGGGATTACTTTTTTGGGGAAGTAATCAGTAATTAGTTACTGATTACTTTTTTCAAGTAACTTGACCAACACTGCTCTTAAGTATGTTGAAATTCAACCTGAAAGAAGGAAATAACATTTCATACATACTCTAAGTATATACAGTACATTCTTGCCCAAATGATTACAAATAAAACATCAAAGTGCGCTATTACAAATAACTAGATAAAAATAATACAAATGTGTATATTTTCAGTTGTGTCATTATTACTGAAATTAAATGACGTAAGAAGTTTTAGTTTAATAGTCTTGGTTGTAACCCAGTTAACTCTTAATAAATCAATTTTTTGAAGGTTAGGGGTGTTTTTCTACAAGAACAGTTGTAGTTCGTGTACTTAAAAAGTATAGCCTCATATGCATCATCATGCTATCTCAAAATCTGTTATGTGTGCTTTGCCTTCATACTGATTCTGTCTCGTTAATGATTTACTTTTATATGCTGGTAACCCTACATGTAGGTTTCACCTGAGTATTGGAACATCAAACACTTTGTTTCCGGCATTCCGGCATTAAGCCATTCTTCAAATGTTTTTAGAGAATAAAAACGTTACCTAATGATTCAACAAAATAAAACGACTTCCTCATCTTTTTTGAAGATGGAAAGTTCTTAGAGTTCTGTGTCGTTTGTTTTGGTGAATAATTATCACATCAGTGATCATTTCATTTGTTACCTGTAATACTTTAAATGTATGTGTAGTTTCTGCTTATGTTCAAAACATTTAAGACAGATGTGGGATGATTTTTAGGAATCGTGTACATCTGTACTTGGAAAAAATTCTGACTGAAAACACAAAAAGAACACAAAACATTGCCTTAAGATTAGTTATCAAATTAGCAAACAAGACCTCTAAACTCAAAAAACGTCGATCACAAATTCTTCCTTTTGGTTTTGCCAAATGGTGGGACAGAATTCCAAGACAGATGGAAAAAACCAGATCATTAGTGACATATCTTATCCAGCACCGATTGCAATTCATAGATTATTGTCTATAAAACAAAAAAAGAGAGACGTTGAGCTTGACCTTGACAGTTTAGGTGAAGAGCCATTAGGTGATCATCATGTGCAAGTTTTGCTAAACCAGTACTGTACAAAGTAAATTGTGGCCGGGCAACTAGATGGCTAAGTCGGATAAACTAACAAATATTACTACATTACCAAATTTACACTAAATTATTGGGTATTTTTATTTATATGTTTATTTGTTTTTTGTTGACATGTGGAAAGCATCCATTTAATCATCCATTTCAGGTGGGCAGGCCTACTGTTGCTAAAGGTGTGAGCATTCTCCAGAGATCCCAGCTGCTGCAGACGGGCGTGGAGGATCCCAGCTCTGTTACGAGACACAGGGAGAGTCAGTGATTTCCTGTCAGGACCTACAGGCCCCGCCTCCTCATGGATCCTGTTGGAAAACGGAGAAGTACTATTAACTTCAAGCTTGAATGACTTACTTACAGCTAAGTCAGAATAAAGACACACAAAAGGGTATAATACTGTTATTTTAAAGCATCACTTACGTACAAAATAAACCATGGACACATGAAATAAATAAATGTCTAATATGTAATGTGGTTTTAAACTGACAGAGGCAAAAAGAAAGTCATGCATTTCATTAAGCAACCAGCGAATGTAAGATCGCAATCTTACCCAGGGAGGGGCCATAAAACAACTTGCCAGCAATGTTAAAGATCAAAGAACAAATCAAAATCCAACAGTTAAAAGAGTTACAGAAGATTCGCTAAAAGTCTCTGTTTAGATATGAATCACTAATTGCATGGAATGCCGGCAAAATTAGTTTAAGTTCAAGAATTCAGAAATCAGCAGACAGAACAATATTGACTCTACCTGGCGATGAATCTCTTCCCCATGTATCTGAACTGATAAAGGCAGACTCTGCAGGAAAAACACAGGTTTTATTATTCACAAGTTATTACTTCTAGTACCCATTTGACCCCTGCAGAGCTGGATCTGTATCGGAATCTTCAAACAACCCTTGGATTTGTTGCTGCAAACTCGAGATGTTACACCAAATGTCTTAAGAATATGATAAAGGCAGACAGAGTTGGGTATGGTCTTATTCCCTCTTCAATCCAGGAAAGTTCTTTGTGGTCAAGCTAACTAGCAGATGGCAAAGTCCAGCAGGCTGGTGCAAACAAACATGATCAATTATGGCTCTAAACAAAAAAATCCCAAATGGCAACAAATGAAATTCTAAACTCAAGGCAGAACAGTAGTCCACAAACTGGCGCAAGCATCCCTTTGTCAATATCTTTTAGTGACGCTAGCGAAGTCAATGTTCATTAATTTGCGTACTATGACATCTAAGGCTTGCTAATACAATCTATCTTGTTTATGTTATCTAGAAAAAATATTATTTAGAAAATGTTCAGTCACTCTTACATGTATGTAATAATAAAAAGGTTCTTTCTCTACTTACTGTATCAGTGTGAAGAAGTCCATTAGCTCTGAGGAAGCAGCTTTACTCCAGTAAGTAAATAGGGCCTCTGAGTATGATGAAATTACATGAAATTAGATTATTAGACCATAGCACGTGTCAAAATCACATATGAATCGCATGGTTCCTACCCTCTGACATGTTCTTGAGGATATGCAGAAAACACATAAGCAGGTTTTTGATTTCATCCTGGTCCAGTTTGTCAGAGCGCAGCACAGTGCTGCCCAGGGCTGATGCACACGGATTCTGATGCACAGGAACAAAGTAGAGAAAACTTTTACTTATCAATCTTTGGAGTACTGAAAAAAATCAACCTTTTAAGAGATATAACCCATCACTCAAACAAACCAAACTTTAAAGATGAAAAATGTCAAATACTTTCTTTAAAAACCTGTCTACTGCTGCAGACAGTAACAACAACTCCAGGTTTAAAAAGCATAGAAGAAAAGAAGTGAAAAAGCAACAAGGTCTGCCAATCTTACAAATCCCAAATTTGCAAGACTCTGTAATGTGAAAAACACTCTGAAGGGGTCACACATGTCAAACAGAATACTTGTAAAGTTAAGTTTTCCTCATGATTTGCATCCACCCTCTGGGCTGGAGCTGCCTTGTTATAATCACTGTCATTGTCCTGCAGTAGGTCAAGCAGGGGAACAGTGAGGAGAGAGAAGTCCACGGTGACCCGCTTGGTTGCATGATTAAGATGAGGTGCGACTTGGTGTTCGGGTTCAAAAGAGAAAGGGAGCACATTGATAGAATGCCTCCTGGTAGATCTCTCCTTTTGGTGGAATTGGGATGTGATGGAGCACTGGTGGGAGGAGGGTGTGGGTATGAAAATAATAGAAAATAAAGACACATCTCAAGAGACCTTGAAGCTTACAGATGCTGCTTTTGCTTTGTTACTATTATGACTCCAACAGAGTAATGTAGTCTATGTCGTGAAACAAGGCTTTTATTTCCCCGTCTCTGGATATTTCTGGGAGGTGGGGCAATTTTTATATTATATGTCCAGGTTTAATCTAGTCTACCTGAGTAGTTCTCAAATAGTTATGTTTTTGTTAACCTTGAGAAATGTTTTCTATGTTGCAGACTATATCTTTTTCAAAGTTCAAATAAGGCCAGAATTTCCACTACCAGTAAATATTTTATTCTCCTTATTAATCAACCCTTATTATCAATCCCGATCCTAATCAGGTTAGTCTGACTTTTTAAGAGCAACAACAAATGTGCCTAAGGAACTGCCATGTCACAAGTGGTGACCTACCTTTTCCAGAGAGTTGGTCCTGTCACTGCTCTTGCCCAGCAGGCTGTTCCCAGAGTCGGTAGAGACCAGAGAGCCTCTGGAGTCTGCATGGTGAACTGAGCTGGCATTGGTAGTGGAACTTTGAGGAGAGGCTGCAAAGGGACCGTAAAAAAAAAAAAGTTTTTCACCAAAAGTAAAACCACAAAAACACATTTTTCATTTGTGATCATGGTGCAAGATCAGTAAACTATGATTAAAGATACAGTTTATTCATTTTAAATGATATTAGAAAATTATTTACAATTTTTATTTTATTTTATTTATTTGAAATTATTTAAATTCGACACATTTTTATTACTCAGTAATGTCCTTATAAGAAGGGAAACACCTGTTCCAGAGATGACCCCAAACACATCTTTGTGGAGAGCATTCTCTATGCAGCTGCCAGGTTTCTGAGGAGTCACCATAGAGGTCTGTACCGGAGAGTCCTCTCGTGGGTTCTGGGACAGAAACTAAAATTACTATTGTAAAGTGCTCTAGTTCTCACTTAAAAACAATAAAGAGAGAAACTGCAGAACTGAGGCATGCATTACAGATGCAAGCTACCATTCAGTTTTTACAACCACTAGGTGTCAGGCTTACATTTACATTACGATTGTCGAGAGGCAACGACTCTTTGATGTCAAGCCTATAAACATTTTCCTGAAGCAGGCCAAACAGAGGGAGGTAGAGAGTGGCAAGTCTGGCCTGCTGGCTCTGCAACAACAAACCTTGAGTTAAATTATTTAAAGCTGTCAAATTGAAAAATTATTGTGTCACTGGTTAAACTACATCTAACATGTACTTTTATGGAAATGCAGCAGATGGCCAAAGAGAAGGATAATGGCCAAGAGCTGCAGAACTTACTTTGGAAGCATAGCGGTCATCAAACGTGTGTTTGATCATCAGTCCCTTGAGCACCTGGATAGCAATCTGACGAATCTCTCTGGACTCCTGAAGTGCACCACTCACCTCCCTGAGCAGCAGTCCCACCAGGAAGTGGTTTCGACAGAAGTCATCAGTCAGCAAGTAGTCCAGCTGGAGATCTGTAGCAGGCATTTATTAGCAGGACAAGGCAAGAGCAAAAAAAGATGCAATGTACAGATGAAGTCTGCAAATTGTGGGTTTTTTCTTACCCTGGAACCTCTGTATTCTCCCTTTCCAAAAAGGCATGGGCAGATTTAAAGGTACATAGTGCTCGTGGTTGCAGACCTCCCGCAGGAACTCAAACTTGAATTCATATAAGGTCTATAAGAACCATAAGAGAATGTACATTTTAGGGTTTTATATTAACTTCAACAACCTGTATCAAATCTTCAGAGACATTATGCCTGCTAACCTTGGGGTCTCCAGGAACAAAGCAGTTCAAGTAGTTGTTGATCTGCTTAAATACAAAGCCTCTGTTCATGAAGGTGAAGCAGCGCTGTGTGGAAAAGGGAACAAATATAATGAGCGAAGATGCATAAAAAAAAAAGTCCACTTAGTTTTCTGAAGTTGAATTAACTTATCATTTCAGTCTTTTTATAAACAATAAGTAGTAAACAATAAGTAGTAAAAATGTTTTAATGTTTAACCTCAAAACAAAGAAAATTTGAGATATATTTCTACATAAATATAATATATAAACTAAAATAATCAGCTGGTGGCAACCTTAATGAAAATTGCCAGGCTGTGGTTGGCATTGCGAGCTGCATCGAGATTGTCCTTATATTTCTGGGTGATGTGTGGCATGAGCATATTGACCAGAGTCTCTACTGCATGGTAGTAGGATGCAGAAAAGCGCTGGTTCCTGGAGACCTGGACATAGGATGGGAAAAGAAGAAAAAGATTTGGAGGAGTCACGTTTGTAAGAAAATGGCTTAAGGACAAAAGGTTTTAACAACAGATCTACCTTAACCTTCCCATGCTCTATCAGATAATGAGCCATGGATTTCACCAGACCTTCAAAGAAGTACCAGGAGTGCTGCAACCCAGAACACAGTGTCAGTGAAAGAAAGAAATACGATGAATGTACAAAATGTGAATTATTTTGAAAGTGAATGTTGCATGGAACTAGAAAATGACATCATAAATATGTCAACAAGAATTTATTCATTTATTTTCTCAAATTTCAGTAACAGATGTAAATTTTGGAGAACTCATAGCAACAGAATATAATGTTTGTAGATCGACTATCATGTATTACCTATTTATGTTGTTTAATTTAATTTTAATTTATTTTTTTACAGGTAAATTGAAAAAAATAATCATTTTACAAAGATTTGTGGATTAGCTTAAAAATGTTATTTTCTTTTTCTTTATAAGTCTCCTTTAATTAGCTTCTGCTGATTGCCTTTTGACAGATGAATTACCTTTAGAAGCTTGTTGCTAGTCAGAAAGTCTGTTGATGGTTTGAGAATGGCTGTCATGGCTTTTGCCAGCTCCTCGTGAACAGTTTTTACATTGGTGAAAGAATAGGGTTCTGGCTTCAACACAAACTGGGTGCAGAGAAGGGGCGGGGAGTGTCAGACTCTGAAACAGTGAATATCATCATTGTGATAAAATTCACAAGACAATAAGCACCTTGACATACGATCTCAGGTAATGCTCAAGTCCCTCTTCATGGCACTGTGCTACCACATGAACCATCACCCTACAAAGATAATGAAATAAAAACAAAACACAGTTCAAAAGTGGCGCTGAAAGGCAGACGTTCTATGTATTTGGGTGTGTGTGTGTGTGTGTGTGTGTGTGTGTGTGTGTGTGTGTGTGTGTGTGTGTGCGCGTCTTGCCTGGTCACATTTACAGCCACATCCTCATGTGTGGTTCTGGTCAGGACACAGAATAGCTGGTTGAGAATGGTGGGCAGAAAGTTTACCATCACGTGACCTTCCATTGCATGGAGACTCTTTAAGAGGGAAGTAAGAAGAAAAAAGTCAATAACTGTGGACTCTTCCTGTCATGATCCCTTAAATGCTAGATGAAAAGATTGTTCAACAGTGTGTGTTCCATTTTCCTCAGGGTATTAGAAGTAAATGGAGCTCTGAATACCTTCAGGTATTTAACAAGCTCTCCCTCCGAAGCTTGTTCTGACATCTCCATGCTTTCGCAGTGGTGAAAGAAGTTATGCAAGTGCTGATCCTAATAGAAACATGTCATATCGATGTTTAGATTTTTTTTATTCTATAAAACCGTTGTGAGTAGGCAGCTAACATTAACTGCATATCATGGATATATGTGCTATTTGTGTACACACCTGAGTGTTAACTGTGGATACAAGATGAGTTGAGACTTTGAAAAGGGGTTTTCCTCCATCCACCCATTTGATCTCCAACCCAGAGTGCTGCAACAAGTACACAACTATTAACTGCACTAGATATTAAGTCTAAACTGCAGTACAACAAATAAACACAGTGATGTTCTTTTTGCATATACTGATTTATAATATAATAACGTTTATCACAAATTAACAGATCAATTGACAATAAGCCTTAATTATTATTGTTCCTCCATGGCAAGTACCCATGCTATCAATATACATATATCATATATCAATACATATATCAATCTACATCAATATCTATCTCAAGCAAGATGGATAGCTACTGTATAACCTCTGATTGCAGATGTTTGGGTTTCAACTTGCTAAATTCATCACTTTATTATTCTGAATAGAAGCCTGGGTTTCCCACATTGTCCTTTCACCATTTCCCAGCAGGTTAATTCCTGTCTACATATGCTGCTTGATTTACGGCCTTACCTTGCTAGAGGTAAATAACACTTAGTTGTCAAATAAGGATATGTTTAACAGATCTGTCTTGGTTGTCTTGGTTGATACTAAAATTAGCTTTGGGAAAATACAAACAAAATATATAAAATTAAACAAGACACCAGAAATGAAAGGATGATAGGATGCCACGCTGTTTGATGGAAATGAGACTTGTCAACTTACAGAGTGCTGAATCAAAGAATTATGAAAGAATTATGTGGCAGGCTAGTCCACTACCTATCTATAGTCTACACCATACTACCTACAAAAAAATAAAAGTTCATTTTTGTTGTTGTTGTCTTTTACCTTGTTCACACCATCCAGGGAGCTGAGGTACCCAGCAGGTAGATTGGCAGCCACAGGAAGTTGTTGTTCATTCGTGATAACTCTGCCATCCTTTAGTAGAGGCAGCCATACTTGGCCAACTGAGGGTTAAAAAAAACAGCACCATTAACATAGCACCAGTACTGGAATAGAGGCAGCATAAGGATTAAGATTTGAATATTAAATCACTGTGTATCTGAATCAAACTGCTACACACACAAACAGCTTCGTATTCAGAGGGTTGATGTGACTTAAACTGATGGCCCACCTGGAGTTTCCACCACGTCTTTCTTCTTGCTGTTGCTGTCACAGCTCACATGATAGAAGGTGAAGAGAAGGTGATGCTTCTCATGCAGTTGAGTAGGCAGCTCTATCTTTATCTAGAGAGAGCACAACAACATAGTTTGCTAATACTGAAGAAGCTTTGCAGTTGTAGAGTTCAAATTTGCTCAAGCAACATGAGAGGCAATGAGAAGTATTTTGTTATTTCAAAAACAAAAAGGTTTAAAAAAAAATCGTTTAATCGTGCAACATATCTGACTCTCTGCTGGTAGTTTGTAGCTATTTTTAATCCATCCATTTACTCTCTTCCACTTATCCATATCAGGGTCCTGGGAGGGACTGAACTCTATCCCAGCTACCACAGGGTAGGTCACCAGTTTGTCACAGGACAACAGATACAGACAGACAATCATTCACACTCACATCCACACCTATGGGCAACAGTATCACCAATTCACCAAACCCTACTAATTGCATGTCTTTGGACTGTAGAAGGAAGCCGGAGTACCCAGGAACCAAATTCCACTCTGATGGTGGAGGCAAACTCAGGACCCTCTTGATATGACATGCAGCCCTATTAAGCCATTGTATCTATTAAACTCTGATTGTGAATAACATGAGCAGAGAAATACCTCGTCATAAAACTCAGGGTTCTGCTGATGGTGGAGGACTGCTGCATATGCCTGCTTAGTAAATAGAGGCCCTCCAGGACAGCCATAGATGCACTGCAGTAGATTCAAAAAGTAGGAGCAAGAAATCATGTGAGGACAGGCGGATATCTTGTCATGCTCATCGTGTGGTTTAATATGTTGTGGTCGTTGGTTTATCAGCTAGTTTGAGCTGTCAAGATGAACAATCCAAAGTCAAGATTGCAAAGCCCTAAGATTAATTCTAAGTCAAGGCAAAGAAACCCAAGTCAAAACAAACTAGTCTGTAGTCAATACAAAGCAGATTTAAGTTAAGACCTAACATTCAACACCAAGTCAAAGAATAAAGGCTTCAAAGCCATACTATTATTAATTATTATGATTAAGATGATGATAATGATGATTATTACATAAGTGTTGCAAGAGAACATTTTGAGATCTGCTTAGTAATTGTTTAAATAGCCAAATGTGATAATATCTGTGCAAGGCTTGTGCATTGTAATTAGCTAATATCTATTTTAGGAAAAGTACCCTCTCTTGGAGAGGACATCAATTAGTCTAAAGTGCACCCGTGAACCCTTGAGTGTTGATGTCTTTTGTCTTCTTGTTTAGAGCTTGCCGGGTGTCTAAATAAAGTGACCTAAGTATATGCCTCTATTACATCTCGTAGTTTTATGTTCTGCCTTGGAAGTATGCTATATAGCATGTAAATGCACCTTCAGCGGCTGGGCTTCATCCTCATCAGAATCCTTAAATTCAATGCAAACAGCAATATTTCTTGCCTGAAGAGGGAAGAAACAGATAGAACATAAGAGAAAAGTAAGACACATTTCCACGATATCCCAGGTCACATAGAAGCAATTTACCAGCAAATACTTTTCCTACTTTGCCTCTCTGAGTCTATTTCAGACTGTGAAATAGACTTATCCGCTTGTTACAATAAAAGGAGGGAGAAATCTGTAAAGATCTGAGAGCTCGCAATAAATTGAAAGAGAGTAAGAAGGCGCAAGGGAAATAAGATCGGTCGGTTTCCTGTTTGGAGCTGACTTAGTGAAAGTAAATGTAACAATCTTGTATTGATGCACTAATCAGAAGCAGCTGCTGTGCATTATGATAACTATCCAGCTCTGCAGCTTGACTGGAAGAGCTTGAAAGAGATCCCAGTTAGTTTCATAGGCTAAACAGAATATCTGCCAAACAAAACCATTTATTTCCTAAAATGATTTGTCTTAGAAGTTTCTCTTTAAAAGATGAAGCAGTGTTTGTGAGGGTCATGCATCGACCAACAGCTCAAAATCAAAGGTATCTTGTATTATTAGTTATTTTGATGCAGCCTTGTTGTGAGTACCTTAGCAAAGCATTTCTGCCCATCGTACTTGAGGTGTTTTGGATAGACATAAAGGTGGTTTTTATAGATGGTGAATGGTTGGGAACACTTAGCAATACAGGGCACAAACTCCTCCACTTCCAGAAGAGCACTGCTTTGCCCGTTTCCTTCAAAGTTCCCCACAGGGATGTAGGAGGCAGTGACACAATCTACAGGAAGGAATGATAGTCAGAATCCTTGTGGATACAATTTGATAACTGTAAATAGATACTCAGAAGTTATGTTATAAATTTGAAGATTTTACTGCTTAGATCTGGGGGCACACTGTCAACTGTTACATCCAAGTTCCCTAAGAGCACAGGGAGCTTAGCCATTTTCTCTGGTCTGTTGGGAACAAAGAAACAAATAATTTTTTGCAAAACTGTATCAAAACATGTTACAGAGAAACAAGTGACTAGATAAGAGAAAGAACGTACTTTCTGAAGTCGGTAAGCAGTTTAAACATGTCCTCATCTGACAGCTTGCTGCTGTCCTGTCTGTAAAGAGCTGAGAATCGTGCACTTTTGTCTAAAGTGCCTGATGCATCTTTAAACACAGGCCTGGGGAGATAGACACACCCAAAAAATAAAAATAAGTGAAATTACTGATGAGCACATCTAAGTTCCACAATACTGGTTTAATAACGTGTGTTCCTATAGAAAGTCTTTCCTTTAGTCACACTTTTCACCTGGTTTGGATGCTGTATTTCAACTATAACTCCCTATTTTCCTCAACTACAACAACATTAGAAACAGGAACAGCGTTATACTAGCAAGTCAAGCCAAAGTTAACAAAATCCACAAATCCTCAAAGCAAAAACAAAACAACCCTCCACCTACCATTAATATTGTACATAAAATATGTATAAACTCATAGCTGGATTACATTTTTTAAAGAAACCAGACTACTTATCGTTTCCTATTTCCAACCCATGAAGGCATAGCACGAGAGGTGAGCAGTTGTTTGTTATAAGCCCTCTCTCATCACACATTTAAATCAGCACCAGGGACTGTCTTTGATGGTATTATATACACCAGCATCTCACTGAGCGACGGCTTCTGCAACCTGAGATCAAGACTATCATCTAACACTGAATTGAATAGGTAAATTGATGGTTTAAGTATAAGGTGGCTTTATACCTGGCAGCCCAGCCAAATGGCATCCTGTACTGGCCCAGTCGGCCGCAAGCTGTCTTGGCATTCTTTAGCACCTTTTGAGCCATCTACACAAGAAAACAGGGGATTTATTTTGGCAATTACCAGCATAAGACAAGAAAAATACACTTCATATCCTCATCTTCATATAAATGTACCTTAACAGAGTCAGAGCTCTTCATGTAGGGTTCAGTGCAATGGGCGATCCCTCCCTGTAGGACCTTCTCAATCCTGGCCACTAGGAAGATTTCTGGATGGGGGCAGGTGACTGAGAATATACCCTGTTTGGGATACCGGACAGCCCCCTCTGGGAGCCCACTAGCTAACCTGTGTTCCAAAACACTATCATTACTGCTGCCACTGATTTGCTGGTTGGATCCACTACCATGACTGGATGTCATCTGTCGAACCAAAGGGTGGTTGAGATCCACATGGAAGTTGGCCGAGATCTTTCTGTTGTTCTGGACGTCAAAGAGGGACAGGATCACATAGAACGGCTCCACCTTTGACGATAGAGGACAGGAGGGAAAATGTTTTGAGACAGAGATGCACTGTAAGAAAAAAGTAAAAAGAAAGCTGCAATTTAACCCTGGAGAACCCATGGGGTCAAATTTGAACCCATGGTTTCCCTAGTAAACCAATGGGGTCGGATCTGACCCCATGGGTTCTCCAGGGTTAAGGGATAGTCATTCTCCTAATGCACTTCTGATTTTCCATTAAGACTAAATGTACCATTGAGGTAATTTATCTTCCCTTTCACTCTTTCCACCAAGCTTTTCCATTACACAACACCATTTGTGTGTGTGTGCATGCATTCAGAGCAGCTCAAGAGCTAATGGCTGTATTGTCCCAGCTGAGCGTTGAGTGTTAGAGTCAGAGACAGAGACCTTGGAGTGACGACAGGAAACCAGCCTCAGACTGGTGCTAATGCATGGTAGGAGGCCAAAGCTGGTTTCCATGGTAGAGAACACTGCGGGGTTCTGATGGGGGCCAGCCAAGTGGGTCATCTGAATTGTCTGTGATCTTCTTAAGTGATTTAAACCTCAACATCATTTGCCAAAGGATATTTGTCTGTTAAGCTGAAAGTTTGTGTGCAAATACAGACACATCCAGCAGCTGCATTTGACTGCTGGGTTTTCACTGATACATACATTAGTTGTTGGCCTTTCATCATTCTCAGCAACACAGCCCTGCAGGTTAAACAACAGGTCATGACAGCTGACCAGGACTCTTTTCCCAAACTTCTCTTCAAACTGTTGCACATTAGGCTCAATGGCAGAAAAGTCTAGTTTCTGTGGAAATAAGAGTTGCTGTCAGAAGGCTTAAATTATCTGCTGCCACAACAAAAATATCAGTCACAGCGATGCTACTGAGAAATCAGACAATACCTGAGTGTCAGGGTCCAGAGTGAACAGCTTGAGGCGAGCTTCACTTCTCATCTTAGATTCAATATCTCTGGCAGTCTGTGAAAAACAAAGCAAAATAAGAATGCATTTCCAATTATAAAGTAGTAACAAACAAATTATGTTGTCCATTTTAGACATCTGGAGATCTTGAAGATGTGGCATCAGTTGAGTATTCTCTTGATACTGTATGTCTTTTCTCTTTTGCTTCACTCCCAAGCTTGCCTTGGGTCCAGTTTTGGATCTTCCTTCTTACTATTACCAAGTGCTTTCTCATAGAGGGTTGTTGTGGTTTTCTCACCAATATTGCAGACTCTTAGTGAAATATCACTAAATGCACAGTGTAGCAATGTTCTGCATCTACTTCCCCATTATATCATCTTTTGAAACCCCAACCGGTCGCAGCAGATGGCCGCCCCTCCCTGAGCCTGGTTCTGCCGGAGGTTTCTTCCTGTTAAAAGGGAGTTTTTCCTTCCCACTGTTGCCAAAGTGCTTGCTCATAGGGGGTCATATGATTGTTGGGTTTTTCTCTGTATCTATGAAGCGCCTTGAGGCGACTTATGTTGTGATTTGGCGCTATATAAATAAAATTGAATTGAATTGAATTGAATTGAATTGAATTGAAAACTATCATCGTAACGAATATCATACCTAATTCCTTAGTGATTATTAAAGTATTCCGATTCTGATCATTTATCCTTCCAAAAGATTTTTAATTTAACTGACATTGGCTAAATACATTTTATACAGCATATACAGTACCTAACAACACAGTGCTTTTAAATTAGGGGCAATGCAAAAACCTGTAAAGGCAATGCTAAGACATTACTTAATGTAAAACTGCTTTGCCTTCTGTGTTAGCAAACCATTAGGATTTATTTGAAGTTGTGTTTCAGGGTATCGGAGAAGAGCTCTATCTCCATCTGAATCGGGAATCACAATGAGGTCTGGGTAGCTCCCACTATGTTGTTGTTCACATAAAACTAAGGCAAAGAAATCCCCACAGATCTCAGAATTCTGAGATTAAAGTCAGCCCAGAAACACCAAGTGGCTACAACCAACAGCGAAGATCAAAAAGCAGTAAACACCTGCGTACCGATCCCCAAACATTCAGGAAGATCTCCATCAATGCCCAGGGCCCCCACCGTGACTCAACAAAAGGGCAGGCAGCACCGGCACCCATAAAGAGGAGCTCATAGCATATGCTATAGTGTCACAAGTGCTAGAGTCCCAAGTGTGATCCCAGACTACTAAATCCCATTTTTAGAGATCTAGCACATTATATTGGATGTTTCCTTGGTAAGCACAAAGAGGAAAATGTGGAGGCCTGGATCCTTGAAACAGCTGGCCTAATGGTCAGGCCATAGTTACAATACAGACAGGCTCCAAGTGATCTCTCAAACATCAAAAATTCAGTATACATCCACAGTATGAGGACTGGTACTGTACATGCCAACCATTAATATTATTTCTGATGGACTAACAAGATACCTGAAAGGTTTCTTGAAAATCTCCAGTGGAAAGTTCTGTTTTTCCATGTTCCTCATCTGCTGGAGAGATCAACATAAGGTCTGTTAGCTGTGGCTGCTGCATAAAACATAGTAATGCATTGGTCTCTTGTATTCAGAAGGATAACTGAAAGGAAGTAAAAACATGGGTTATAAACTTAAAGAAGTACATTTCAGCAAATCGAAGAATCCCACAGGTGCAGCAAGCTTCAAAAAATATAATCAGATGAAAACAAATGCAATTACAAACACAAGGCAGGCAGACAATAAAACATATAAATAATTCAGACAAAGTGTTAAAAAATACATACCATCATTCAGATCGCCATTTTTTTTCTCCTGCATGGCCTGTTCAAAGCTGCTGTGGAGAATCTTGTTGAGGGTAGTGATCCACTCCTCCATCTCTGCTTCACTGTCTGCAGCCAGCAGAAATGTGCTCTTATCCTGCATCTTCAACTCAAAGGCAAATCGACGCACTTTACTGTTCTAAAAGAGAAGAAACACAAACACAGCTTCTGTAAAAGTGGTTTTAATCTTTTTGTTTCCAGTGGACAGCTAACAGAATGCTAACTTTCCTTTTGCTGCATTCAGTTTAACCACCATCACTACCACCACCACAGCTCACCATTACCTGAACAACTCCCATGCATGAGTCAAGGAAGATGGTTCCTTTGGGATCTTTGGAGGTGTTCTCATCCTTGTAGAAGTTGAGGTTGTAAGACCCATCCCCCAGCTGAGCCAGATGGAAGTACCTCCTCTTGAAGGACTATGATGACAATAAAGAATGTTAACATTCCTAATGGACTAATTTTCTCTAAAAAATACTAAAGAACGGAGAGAGAGCATGGGAAAGCTTGTGGGTAAACTGAAAAAGTAAGCAAAGTTTTGAGCTATCACACACAAAGACTAATCTGAGTTCCATATGTTCACAGGGGAAAAAAGGATGCAGGGAAAAGTAGTTCGGTAGGGTTACTGAACCGTCATTATGCACTGAGTATTTTTTTCTTCAGTCGCTTTTCTCACGCACTGCGTGACTATACACCTCTCTGTATTGGATCATCACTTATTATTCATCTCTGTCTCTCTTCCACAACATGTCTTTGTCCTGTCTTGCCCCCCCGGACCCCAACTGGTCGCTGCAGATAGCTGTCCCTTGCTGAGCCTGCTGGACGTTTCTTCCTGTTAAAAGGGAGTTTTTGCTTCCCACTGTCGCCAAAGCGCTTGCTCAGAGGGGCTCATATGATTGTTGGGGTTTTCTCTGTTATATTTGTATTTTGTAGGGTCTTCCTTACAATTTAAAGTGCTTTGATATATATCGAATGTGATTTTTTTATATACAAAAACATCATGGCTGGATCTTAAGACAAAATGTTTTTTGATCTTCCACTTGACGTTTTTGTTCCTTAACCCTCAGAATCATTTAAGAAATTCCAAATGACCGTTTTACTGCGTCCCACCTCAACCTGGTTTTCAATAAATTGCATGCTCAAAAATGTTTTGTCTCACTTCCATTTCTTCTTGTTGCACGTTGAAGCTCTACTATATCCAACCATTCAAAATATAAATTTTTGTCATTTTTCAAGTGGTCTTAAACTTCTAATCCGGACTGTATATATAAACAAAGAAAATGTAAATTTCTGTCATTTTCAGTCTGCTGTACTCACCCGCATTGTAACAGTGATTGCACCGTTGACGTTGCCTTTAAAAAGCCAGCCATGCTTAGACACTCCTCCTTTCTGAGATCTCAGAGAGGCTGTGTCCTGGAGGAGGAGATTAAGGGGAAAATAAAAAAATTGTCTGGTGTTGCTATCCTTGTGGGGATATCTCATTGACATAACCATCAAAAATGTATGCCTAACTCTAACCCTTACCGTAATCCTAACCATAACCCAATCGTAACCCTGACACTAAAACCACATTTTGTCATGGTCCTGAGTCTGATGACTCAGTGTTTTGTGTTTCCTTATATTATTCTATGTTCTTGTTTATTCTGGTTATGTCTTTTGTTAAGGTTTGCCATTTGCTAGGTTTCTGTCCTGTGCCTACCTGCTCCCACTTCTCTGTGTTCCCTCTGTCTATCCATGGTGTCACAGTGTCTGCTCGTGAATCTGTCTGTTAAGTTCAGTGTCTTGTCTGGTTCTGTGTCTGTCAGTTTCCTGTTTTATTCTGAAGGTCTCTGTCTCATGTGAGTGTTCTCAGCTTTACATCTGTGTCTAGCCGTGATTTCTCCCAGGTGTGTTCCCCTCCTGTCTTCTATCCCATGATAACTCCTGAGAGTATTTAAGCCCTGTGTGTTCTGCTGCCTGTTGCTGGTTTGTCTGTGTTGCTTTCCCGAGTCTCCAGGTGTCTTTGTTCTGGATTCAGGTTAGTTTTCCCAGTTTAAGTGCTCTTAGGTTTTGTTTTGTGCCTGCTACATTCTGGTTTGTGTGTCCATCCTTATTAATAAAGCTCACTCGCATCTGAAGCTGCCTGCATCTTGGGTCCTCTATTAAAACTCACACGGCTTGCCCTGCTAGCCGTGACAGCACAAACCAGCCAACATGGACCCAGCGGCATTCAACCAGAAGACCTTTGCCGTGACATTATTTACTCCGTGGAGAAACTCTTTCAACTGTGGCTCAGTCATGAGGGAAAGGAGTTTCATCACGCTGTGGAAACAAGGCTACAGCGATTCATTTCCAGGCTCCCCTGACTACTGGATGCGCTTCACCCGCTCGTACGGAATTTCATCATCAATACGCTACACCTTCACCCAGCCACAACTGCTTCGCTGCCCGGCCCACCGGAGGATGTTCTGCCCGGCTCAGCAGCAGCCGCTAGCTCAGTCTCCAGTGTCACCTGCTCAGCAGCTGCGCCTGCTGGTTCTGATCAGTCTCTGCACCTGTTGGTTCAGCAGTCTACCTCTGCAGGAGGGTCCAAGGCGCCCGTCGGGCAGTCCGTCTCCGCAGGAGGGTCCGAGGGGCCCGTTGGACAGTCTGTCTCTGCAGGAGGGTCCGAGGGGCCCGTTCGGCCGTCCGTCATCGCTAGAGGGCCCGAGGAGCCGCTTCAGCCGTCCGCCATCGCTGAAGGGTCAGAGGAATTGCTTCAGCACCTTGTGTCCGCTGACGGCTCTGCTGTGCGGTCAGCCCCCTGAACTGCTCGTCCTCCGGGTCGGCCTCCTGAACTGTTTATGAACTTCTCCCTGTGCTCCAGTGTTTTTGTGGATGTTTTGTTTTTGGACTGATGCCTTCAACCCCGTGGGGACCTGAATTTTAGTCCCCACAAGGGCTGTTGGTCCCCACCAGTATAGTAAGAACCTGTACACACATTAAGATAAACAGTGCTGTTGTGCGCCTATTAAGGTCCAAAGTTGAAATTGTTGTTAAAGTGTCATAATTATTGGGAAGAGATGTGCCTTTGAATGCTACAAACAGTGTGGATCTAGAGCAGTAAAGACATTTAGCTTGTAAAAGAGTACTGAAACTAAACAAATACAATGTTTAGTAATAAATTAAAAGCTAAGTGCGCTCTGTTACACTTCCTTGTATTTGAGTTTCTTTGAAGAGCGTTTGGTCAGTCCTAAAGGAAGAATGCAAAGTCACACTTTTAAGCTCTGTATCTTACAGGAGCAGAAGTGGATCACAAAGAAACTATGGGAACAAGCAGCTGAAGACGAGTCTGGAATTAGTCATCTTACCTCATCTTTTTCCACATCTTCATCCACCTCAAACACATGAGCCACCAGTTTTTCAGGTCTCAATACCTTACTGAAAAGTTTGGGAAAAGATAATTCAGCCTTGGCTCACTTAATTCAATTTCATGTTAAACCATCTCACAAACATATGTAAGAACTCTTACATATGTTTGGGGCAAATTCTTGGACCGGCGCAAGACGGATGAAAGCGAAAGCATTTGCCAAGAATGTTTTCATTAATCAAGGGCAGGGATAGCTCAGTAGGTAGAGTGGTGGCCCCATGATTGGAAGGTCGGGGGTTCGACTCCACTGAACGGCTACCCTGAGGTACCCCTGAGCAAGGTACCGTCCCTACACACTGCTCCCCGGGCGCTGCACTGGTGGCTGCCCACTGCTTCACTGGGTGAATGGGTTAAATGCAGAGGAACTATTTCCCTATGGGGACTAACACGCACACTTTACACTTTACTTTACTTTACAACTCTGAGACTATTAAGTTTGAAGTTAAACACTCAATGAATGTTTAACTCTTTAGTTTAGTTTTAATGAACTATATTAACCTTTATCCCCACAGCACATTGATAACCTCACCACCACTTCAGCCACATCTTGTACGGTAATTCTTCTAGCAAGATGTTGATGAAATCGGCAGCTGTTTCTCTACTCTAGCTCAAACACCAGTGGCTCTGGGGAACTAGAACTATAAACAGTGCCAAAACCAGCTTGCTGTTACTCTGCAATGTCTTAACCATGACATACATCTGTAATACTCATTTCTTTTGTGAAGTAAAGGCTCATCCAAGGGCACATATGCATTGTGGTATTTTCTTTTTGTTATGATGCCATTGGGCAACAGCTATCCAAGAATAGTTCTACATTTCCTTGGTAGGAAAACATCAAAAGTGTTCTGTTTTTACTGTGGAGCTTAGAACCACCAAAAGAGAATCCAGCGTTTGATTGAAATAGCCATTCCCAAATCTCATAGGGCCACCCAATCTTAAATCTTCACTCTAACCAAAATACAAGAAAGAAATGTATATCCTAAATATTTTATTCAACCTCGACCGGTTGCAGGTATTTCCCATTTTATTTAAATATAAATAAATGATTTTTTTTTTTTATAAATATGTAACTTCAATTTCAAACTGAAATTCTATTACAGAATAATGTAATGTGCCACCAGGAGGCACCAGTTCACACTTTGGGACTTGTACACAAAGGGCAGTGCCACTGAACACAGTGAGATTTACAATATGTTGTGGAGGCTTTTAGAACCATAGGGCAAGCAGTACAGTAAGAATATATATGCACACACACACAAAGTGTGATGAGCTAAACAAATTTTGCTAATCTGCCATTTGTATATAGATGATTTGTTCTAACAGCAGTGTGCTTAAGACAAATCAGACTTATAAAGGCAACATGCTTTTACAAGACTTGCTGAGAATGATAAAAACAGATGTGGTGGAGTGCCCTTCTACCAGCAACACTTACATACTGTCTTTATTAATTTCACTGTAGTGTTTGAAACAGAGTCAGTAACACTATCATTGGCTACATGAATGCAGCATTGATAGACTGTTGAGAGCGTGCAGTCTGATGGACCTGTTAGCAGAAGCCTTCCGGCATACTCACTTCGGAAGCTGGCGGAAGTCTCCAGCATACTCCTCATACTTGTAGTTGACCACGTGCCAGTCAGACTTGTAGGTCGTGATACACTGCAGGTACATGAAGTAAAGAGGTGGTGAGGGGTCTCTTTAACAAAGCATATACAGATGTGTAATTAGATTTATTAAAAAAATAATCTAGGAAAAGTATGGAGATGTTTAACAACATTACAAAAATTATTTTTAATTGGGAATAGATGGCCCTGTTGATGCAGGAGCGTCAGCAGATGCACGCTTTGTTCACTCTTCTGTTATTTACTAACTAAATATTATCTCTAGTTTACTAAATGTCTTACTTTACTATTTATAAATGGAGTATCTTTGATTTTGGGCCATTCAATGATTAAAAGGAGTCAGTATAGTAATCACCTGGTTCCTCTCCCCTCATCACTTCTTGTGTATCTTCCTTTGTCCTGTCTTGGGTCGTCTGTATTGCTACGTGTTCTTGTAGCAAAGTATTACTTATATTGTTATTCCAATGATTTCCGATCTTGGACTTGCTGGTTTGTCCTCATTTTATTCCTGGACTTTGTACACCCATTGCTAATCAGCATTAAAAGTTTATTTATGACTGCCTATGAGTCCTACATTTGGATCCTCAAAACTAAATTACCCCTACCTCTGGCTACATTTATGAAACAATACTGAGATATGGTATTTCTAAATATCACATTATAGTTTGCATCCAAATAACATCTGACCTCTGTTTACTGCATTACAAACTTTTAAAGTACAGCTATTCCCCTAAAAGTAACCCAGCGAGGTATCTGCCTTGGTGGAAGAAGATCCCTCCTTTATACTTTAACACAGATTACAACCAATCAGTCACACAACAAGTGTTGTGTGACTGATTGGTTGTAATCTGTGTTCCACAGCCAATCTGTGGCTGGGTTGTAGGGAATTAAATACTTATTTCACTCAACGACATTTTGTTTCTTTTCAAATGAGCAAACCTAGAATTTTAGCATAGAATCAAATCATTCAAAGTAAACTTAAAGAATGAATCCTTTCAGAGCACTTGAATGTTTTAATTAAAACACTGTTATACAAGTTTATAGTTAATAGGCAGAAAAAGAACATGATTCAATAAAAAAAACAGCTATTCAAGATAACAAAGCATAAAAGAACATGTTTTTGAGGTAAAGAGCAGTTTAAACATAGCTTTATTATTTCAATGTGTGCTCATCAGTTCTGTGTTCACAAAATGTGAGGGAAAAGGGGGTCATTAAAATGTAGAATAACAAATTATGAAACAAAACATCCCATGTGTAAGGAGCACAGCTGCTCCAGATGTACTTATGATTTCACTCTTGGCTGCAGCTGTGGGGGAATATCACCTATCAGGCTCTATCAGGCTGCACCCAAACCAATCTCAGCACACAGCTCTTCTGAAACTACATGAACCACCAATGAACTATAGGCTCCATCTGTGGCCAATCTACTGGACTGTTAGCAAGCATGTAAGGGCGGGGAACATGAATGGAAGTTCATCTGAAGGGGAGCAGAAAAAAATTCCAGCACACATGGTATGACTTGTTTCTAGTGGTCAGATAACATTTGTCTTTTTCACTTAGATTTGACTGAAATATAATTAGCTCTCTCGTTGCCAACCTGCCACAAACAAATCAGAGTATGTCCCTGCATGGATTTGTATCTGAAAATACAAGCCCCCTTTGATGAGTCTTCAAAGAGTGAAATCCAGATACACAATCTGGATGCCTACTTTTGGCTGAAAGGTGAAATCATGGTGGTGCGGTTGAGTGATAAATAACGGACAAAGCAGGCTTGCATCCAGATATGTATTCATTTTACCTCTTGGACAAACAGTGAGTGAGCTTCTTTCTCTGCAGTCTCTGGCACAGTGGGAAACAGAGTCCGGCCCTGGCGCTGCAGGGTGGAGATCTGAGGGGAGACACAGAAGGCAGGCCTGAAAATGAGGTTGGCACAGCATATCTAGGTTTAGGTTTTTATAAGACCGAAAATTCACTTTACTCTTGTTTGAACTATTGAACTATTGATCCCTATTGGGGGCTTCTCTTTGTACTCTTTTTCAAAAGAAGGTAGGCAACATTCCAGCCTCCTTAGAGCCAAGAAGGTTCACTGCTGTGCTCAGTTACCCTACAGCATAGTGGCAGCTACTTCCTATGCCTCTATGATTTTTTTATTTCATATGGATGATCATATTATACTTCATTGTGGCTCCACTGTGTATTGGTTTACACATTTCCCTAACAAGTGAGCATCCCCAGTTTGATCCACAGAAGAGACACAAATCCCTCAGGTTGATCTGATATCCTCGTGTTGGTGTTGTTCCCAGATCATCATACTAAATGCTGTTCCAGGATCAACATTGCAAGTGACCAATCAGAATTTTGTGACGTCATAGTTTTGCGACTTCGGGAAAAACTGGCGTAAAACAAAAAACTGTACTTAAGCTGCGTGAAACCGCCTGTTAGAGTTTGTATTGTTGATTGTCATTTATGCTTAGAAATATTTACTTATATATGCTTAGAGTTTTGTAATTAGTTGTAGATTGGTAGAGGTTTTGATCCTTGATAGTCTGCAAACTTTGTGTGTATTAGACAGCACTTTGGGAGCATGAGAGGTCATACCGTGCCTTATTGTTTTACGGCAGGATCAACGTAGTTGCGTCTGTTCTAGTCTAAGTG